TGAGACATCTGTGCAAACATCAATAGAAACAATAATGCCAACTCCAGATAATAATAATGGTGATGAGAAAAATGATGAGAAAAATGATGGGAATAATGATGGAAATGATGGAAATAATGGGAATAATGGGAATAATGATGGGAATAAAGGTGATAATAAAGATGAGAAGAAAAAAAATCAAAATAATGATGAAAAGAAAAAGCAACATAAAATAACGTCTTATACATCAATCATAACCACAATCACATTATATTATGCCGGTTATACCACAACAATTACAACAACTAACTCTTTAGGAAAAATTACAACCTTCGCAACATACATTCCTCCATCCACTGTAATTTGGGTAAAAACAATGGTCTCACCAGTCACACTTGCGGTTGATGAAGACCTGTCGAGTACGACGATAAGATTACATGAATTTAACAGCCACAGCTTATGGGGAGTTACAATTAGTTTGATTGTAGTCGTCGCATCTTTAGTTATTAGTGTTTTCGCGTAATTTGTAAAATGAATATTTATTAGTTAGTATTTATCTTTTGTGCATAATAAAATTGATAATTTATAAAGTTACAAAGAATTTTATCATGGCTATTGATGAATCATGAGATACAGAAAGCATAATAATTATTTAACGAGTTTATTATGAGCTATACAAGAAATAGGCTAAATTATATATATATATTTATATTGTTTTATAAAAATCGATTAATAATTTTCATTTAAAATATTTGTAATGTATCGTTAAATCTTTCTTAAAATTACGAAATTATCGGTGATGTATGATTAATATTTGGTAATGATGAGCTATTTCGTGCCCCATTCCTTTCGTATATTTAGGTTATACAATGCGATTATGTCCTAGTAAGGAACAAGAACGTGTAGGCTTGAGGTTAGATTCATGTTTTATATTTATTTTCGTTTCTGTATTGAGAACCTTACTATTAAGTCAATTTTTTCTGTATGATAAGATGTAATTATTTTTTAAATTTCAATATCTTTAAATATTTTATATTGTAATGTGTTATTTAGAAGTTTAGGGCAATATTAGTAAAAAAAAAAAAGATTATATTTTTGTCTGTAACACGTGATGTCATTTTTTTATCACGGGCGTTATTTATTTAACGATACCACAGGGTCACGGTTCCGCAGTGACCCTAATGGTACAGTATAAAATACATTAGAGATAGTTAAAGAATCTTCATGACGAATTTTAAATGGGTATAATTTAGAAGAATAGTATATAATAATCAATTATATTGATGCAAATACTTTATTTGTCATATTTTTTGGTGTAACTAATTAATGAAATTGGTTTCATCTAATTTGACTAGCAGGGATGAATTTCTATTATCATATATTGGAATGGATTCCTTATGACGCATTAAAAGAAATTATATGTTGCAATGCCTTTAATTTTTTTTTTTAAAAAAATAATAATAATAAATGAGTCTTAATCATCTAACTAGATTTTTAATCATGGCCGTCCAGCGGCCGGCCTTAATTAATATTTGAAAGTAATATATATATTTTATTTAATATTTATAAGTATCTTCATTAAATTTGCTGGAATA